TCCAGAAGCAACTTTACGGCCCACCAGCGGCCGAGCGGTAAAGTCGCTGAACACTGGTAGTTCGGTTCGAATCCCGCGAACGGGCTGGCTGCATGGGTGTTTTCGTGGTTTTCCCCATGTGTAACGTGTATACGAGCCAGTTTCCCTTAGAAAGCCCTCCACGAAGGCATCCCTCCCCTTAGGCAGATAGCCCTAGTGTGCTTTGCCATAATTAAATACACCACACCACACCACCAGAAGCAACTTTAATCATAACTTCCGTAACTAAAGAATAACAACAATTAAAATTAGCTGAAGCAAGAAGTTTAAATTGCAGATATACCTGCCATGAATGCATATTTCACGTGCTTCTATGGAAATTTTTAAGAAAGCAAGTTTCGTTGCAGAAAAAATACGCTAAGGAAAGGAATTAAAACGCATATATCCCAAATTCGATTCTGAATTTATGCAGTTGATACTTCATTGGATACTAAGTATGCAAAAAATACTTCCGTCTTCAAAAGACTTCCTAAATTTTAAGATTGCCCTTCGATATGTTCAAAATAAATAAACAAATAAAATTTAAAAAATTTACAAAAATGTATCCCGAATTCATGTTTTTACTTCTGAAACAAAATGTAAAATAAAATTCTCGACAGGCATGAATATTTTGAATTTATATGTAAAATAAATTAATAGTTGCTTCGAGCGTATTTAATAAATTGAATCACTAAATAGTCAATTTTAATTGCATTTCTAAACGAATGATATTCAGAAATTATTATGTAAGGTGATTTGGAAAAGTTTGGTAAATTAGTTTCCTAAATAATAATGGCGTTCTCTTCTCCAGTTTAACTGACAGTACATTAAAATATTTTAAATCGCTTCAATTACGGCAGAAGTTACTGAACTTTTCTTAGGCATATTTAATCATATGAGCTGCGATACAAGAATTCAGTGGTAAGAAAGTTGAAAAATAAATACAGTTGTCAGTTAAATAAAGTCGTCAGTTGCCGATGCACAATTTTATCTGCATCAGATAAATAATGAATGATGATATTCTTTTCGATGGATCAAAGATAAAACGTCATACTCAGTATTTAAAAAACCATCTAACGGCTTTTAAAATTCTGCTGATCAGTTAGTTTTTCAGAAAATTAACTATTCATATACCGTCAATTTGAAGAAGACAATTTCAGAATTTCCGTCCACTGTTAGCGTATAGGGCTCGATTATTAAAGCCGTAACAAGGATGAGGCAAGTTGAGGTATTTGTTTCAGGTGAATATATAAAACGGGCTCCAAATTGGTCGTGATTTCGAAAATTATTAATTAATAATGTTTTAAAACTTGTCAGTTATATTATTAGGGAAAATAAGATTCAAACTTAAAATTAATAAAATAATACACAAAACCTTGCCTAGATTTAAAAAAAAAAAAAAAAAAAAAAAAAAAAAAAAAACTTTTATGCACGGCTGTTTTTTTATACATTTAGTCAAAACATTACTGCTGATTTTACTCACTAAAACAAGAAGAATTAAATTAATAAAACAATATGCAAAAAATTGCCTAAATTTATAAAAAAAAGAATAAATTACGTCCAAGGAGGCCTTTTTTTTTTAACATTTTGTGTTACCTTAATTTATTAAATATCATGTTCTTCGAACTTAAACCATAAAATTCAGTTCAAGAGCAATATCGCAAAATAATTTTAAATTAAGCATATCTTTAGAATTTCCGATATACACAGGTTCACGCGCTGGAGATGAAAATTTTTTTTCTGTACAACATTGCCATTGCTCGCTTTGAAATCCTTGAGTTTGTCAATCAAAAATTCGTTAAAGTTTTACAAAATTTGAAATCGATAATAAAACAAATTCTAAATTTCAAATTTGCGCTTCCAGATGCCCATATTCGTAGTAGGATTACGTCATTCAAAATTGGATGGCTCTAGGTACCGTTGTTTTATCACAATGCAATAAGCACACATACATTTATGCAGATTCTTCATCATTTAATTTTTTCAGGCGATAATATTTGGTGGCAACAATTTGAAAAGTGAAACGGACATGCAGAGTGATTCGACGCATAATCGCAAAACGAAAACAATAGTCCCTCAGGGACGAAACCTCTTTGGACTAAAAAAGTTTTATACATGGCCGTTTTTTCTATAGAATAAGAATTAAGTAAAATTGTCGATTTTGATTCGCTGAAGCAAGAAATATTAAATTACAAGAAAAGCTGAATATTAATACAGTGTGTTTAATAGTATTTCAGCGTTATTGCGTATTTATCAAAAAAGGATATTTCAACGTTTTTATTTGAAAATTATAAATAATAGATGTATTATGTTCCTGAATTTATAAAGCTATTTTTAAAAAGTGCTTTAAGAATTATGGTATCTTGATTTAATATAGTTACTTTTGCTTAATACATATATAACTAATTTGATTATTTTATGATTGCTAAATATATATATTGCTAATTCACTTAAAGTTTTACAAAATTTGAAATTAGTATTTTATACATACCGGCAAGCTTTTATCTTTTTGTCTCAGTTGAAAAAGTATCTAGGCAAGGCTCTAATTTATTTATAAAGGCACGGCACTAAATGTATAAAGCTACAACATGTGATGAATTAAATTACATGAATTATTACTGAATTAGAAAGTTATATCACATTTAGCGGAAGGCTTACCTGCAGATGTCTCAGACGCATTGTAATCTTTTCGGTATTACAGTTTCCGTTGCTCACGAAATGAGAACGATTAAACTTCAAAGAATTCATCAAAAATTTCCACTGGATTACTTTTCTTAGTCAGTACTTGCTTAGCGGTTTTGATTTAAGTTCAAAGACCTTTGCGAATCGTCATTGTTGCTGAGATTTTAAGACACTAGGTCGAAATGCATTCTCGGAAAGTCAAAGGAGATGAAAAACCGTGCGTCAATACCTTTAACCTCGTTTTGCTAAGGAGATCCTGAAGAAATGCAAAATCGCAGTCTTTCTCCGAACCCGACTGAACCAGGATTTCCTCAACGCCGGTTGAAATTGCAAATTGGTTTGAAACGAAACCAAGTTCTAATCAAACCCTTTCACTTTATCCGGGATTCAAGACCACAGTTTTTACCAATCATGTCAATGACCTCTGGATTTAAGTGAGATGCTTTTGGTCAAATACGGATGATATAATATACTTTATTACACATACAGAGCTTTTAAAAAGTCAAACTAGATCTAACGCAATTCTATTATGAAAATTATGAATTATTATATGAATTATGCAAATTCTGAGCATTAAATGAAACAGTTAAACAGACTTTTTTTAGCCCAAAAGGCACAGAAGGGCTACTCATTTCGTTTCGGCATTTTGTGTTGAAAACTTTAATGTTTGTTTCACTTTTAAAATTATTGCTCTGCATTATATTTAAAGAAATTAAATAATGAAGAATATGTATAAATGTATATTTCTCGCGTTGTGATAAAACAACGGTACCCAAAGCCATCCAATTTTGAATAACGTAATCCTCCACCGAATATACCGGTGGGTATATGTAAACCTAATTGAAATTTATACCATATATATAAACCTAATTTGAAATTTGTTTTACGATCGATTTCCTATTTTATTTTGTAACCCTTTCAAGAATTTTTGATTAACAAACTGAACGATTTCAAAGCGAGCAATGGGAACACTGTACGGGAAAAAAAAAAAAAAAAAAAAAAAAATTCTCCAGCTAGCGAAGCTGTGTATCGAAAATTCTAAAGATATACTCATTTTAAAATTATTTTGCGATATTGCCGTTGAATTGAATTTTATGATTTAAGAGCGAAGAACATGATATTTAATAAATAAATATAACACATAAAACGTTAAAGAAAAAGCCTCTTTGGGCGTAATATAAAATCTGAAAGCTTTCAAATTTTTTAAAATTTTCTTTTTCGAATAGAACAATAAATATTTTTATTTATTTAATTTAGGATAAAAATAAGACTTCATCAATTTAAAATTCCAATGAGAAATATATGTATGATTAATTTAGTATTTATTTATCGCATTAGATTGAATATATTCGGACTAAACATTTTTTAAACGTTCTGCAGCAAAATTCGTGCATAAAAAATGCCCTTTAAAATATGAGCTTAACACCTTAAAGGTAATATTAAATGATTTAAATATCATTAATATTAAATTATTTAAAAGTCAAGCTTAAAGGAATGGCAAGAATTTAAGATAAGCAATAAATTTCCTTAATATTTTCTTTAAATATTGTTAGACGTGTATGGTTTTCTGAATGGCATTTTAAAGGAAAATATACCATTTCATATAAAGGTCTTTTGGGTCTATATTATTAACCATTTTAGTTCACATAAGTTTACGCTCATAATTTTATGAATTAATCATGTTAAATAAAGCTACATTAAAAGTAACACAAATAAATTTATCTTAAATTATTGGCATAAATAATAGTGGCTACACATAGTCGAAAAGTAACATAGCTGTTAAATTTCTGCAAAATTAAAAAATTATTAGAAATATATTTTTTTATGAACTTACTGCTGTCTATTTATTTAATTTGGAAAATGATCACGTTATACTTAGTCGAACATAAGACACACTAATTGATATAAATTCGCATGACACAAAAAGGTGATGCGAAATATTAGTGGTTATTGGATGGTTTGCAAACAAACAATATATGAAACGTTATGCTTCTGATATTCAGTGATTTTTAAAATTTAATTACTTCTGTTTCCTTCAAACCTGAAAAATTAAGCAGCGTTTTCACAGAAATTAAATTTTCGGTGAATTTTTAATAATACTATTCATAATCGAATTTTTGTTCCACAGAAATTAAATTTCGGTACGTTGTCATAATGTTATTCTCCAGTCTAATTCTCCTTTAATTATATATGTATATTTCATAATGATAAATATTAATTGATATTTAACACCAAATGCGTTATCAATATATTACTCTCTAGTAATGATGGGTTTTAAAAAGAACTGAAATATAGTTTACCTTGTGCAGAATTGACGTGCAGAGAAGTTCAGTTTAGATGTATAGTTCACACAAATAAAAGAACATGCAATTTGTTTCTCAAAATATCCAAGTAGAGTATTCACACTATATACGTCTCACTGACTATCACTGATGACAAAATCAGTTTTGGCAGAACGAATTAAAAATTTGTCAGCTTTCAGTCAGCATCAATTAAAGTTTTTGATCACGCACAATAAAAGCGAATATTGTTCCAAGCTATTAAAAAAAGTTATGATTTGAAAATAAAATTTAAAGGTCAAAGTCACGTGCAGCTCTTGATGGTCAGTGCGGAAGAGTCCGGCAGAGTAACGGCATTGCGAGCGACCTTCGTATGCTGGCACACCTGTTCGACTAGCGAAGTTTTCTGATCTACCTCCGGAGTACAAACCTCGACGGCTCGTCTTCCCCGGGGTGACGAAGAACTCCAGCGACCAATCAGAGGACGGGAATGAACCCGCTAAGTTTCCAGACCACAGCGCATCACAACACGCGCAGGTAAAGAGGGGAAGAGATGGATCTGCTTTTGTTATACTATATTCTCTTTACTTCTCTCTCTCTTTTCTTTATATTTATTTTTTTTTTCCAGCGGAACTTGTTGGCGGCGACCGCGTGTTGTGTTCCGTTAGACGTGACGTGAAGTTTTGCTTTTTATTATCTTCTGCATTTGCTTATGAGATGATTCGTTGTTATTGTTTTATGCACTTAAGTCGCGGGGTCCTTTCTTCGTGGTAGGTCACTGATTCCAAATTTCGGAAACAGGTGATATGAATATCTCTTAATATTTACTTTGCAACAGGGTAGAATGGGTTTGACAGTTTTAAATACTTTACTCTTAAATGGCAAGTAGAACAGAAATGTGACGGTGCCAGTAAAATACATGCAAAATCTGGAACCCTCTCTAAGCCGAAACGCTTTTTGTAAAACTGATTATTATGTCCATTAATCTTTATAATTAGAACTATGTTTCTTCAAATAACATTAATTCACATTTTAAATCAAAAACAATCTTTATTATCGTTTTTAGCAAAAGTAAACAACTCTTTAAAACAACATCATCAATAATCTTTTGCTGCCATTCCAAGAACAACAGAATTGAATAAACTTTTTAGTGCCATTCTCAAAACAAATAAAACAATATTATTCAGTAGTTAAAGTTTCTGTATAAGTTCAATCCACAACAGCTACCACACCAGTAAAAATCATTCAGTGATGGTAGAAGGAAAAGAGTTGTTAACTTCCGGTGTGCCGTAGTCTCGCACAGTAAATGATGATGAAATTATGATAATGAATTGATCATGATTCAATGAACATTTCATAATTTATGATTTTTAATGATGAATTCAGTTTTTAAAAAGAACTTGACATGCTATAAGAAGATTTAGCAGTCAATGGGATTTATCAAAATTCCTATGCGATATCACGCTCACTTCCATTCTTAATCATAATCCTGAGAATAATTAATAATATTGTATATTTAATAATATCGTATGATCATCCATCTAATAATTTTCTCGGGGAAAATAAATAATCTCACAAATTAAACACTTCTTATCGCTATTCTATCGGATATTTCACATTCCATTTGAATAATTAAAAAGCTTCATTTGTAAGCAAAATAGAGTGAACCATTTTTAAGACGACAATGCATTTATCTATTTACAGGTTCTTGGAATATTTTACAAACAGAGAGAATACAGAAATAGAAATGCCGTGTATCGATTTGTTAATGATGTTATGTTAATAAAATTTCAAATTCATAACAAAGAATAATTCTGCAGATCAAAAAAACCACTTTAAGCTTCATATTGACATATTTTTAACATTTCCTCGTAGTGAACTATCTACTTCTAACCATTTTTTTTCTTCACCTAAACAGATGTACAACTTTGCTGCTTTGTTCTTTGGTTTCCTCTATTTGACTTTTTTAGTTACATGTAGGTTTGAGCTTTTGAATTTCAATCATTGAAAGGATATGTAGCGATAAGAAAGATTCGTGTTCATCAACATTATAAATGTCCTCGAAATGTCATCGTCACGGGGAATAATAGTTTTTGGCTTGAAATAATTCCTTGCCCCATTTTTGTAAGTCATATTCTGAATTTAACACAATTATTCTTAATTATTAAATTAAATTTTGTTAATAAATTTTTAAAAGCTTATATTTAATATTTGTTAAATATTTATTTTATAGAATGATTATTATAAAAAGTTTTTTTAGCTTTTAATTTATTTTTAATTTTCTTCTTTTTGGAGTATTATTACTTACTATTATTTATTATATGATATTGATAGTGGATAAAAAAATAAATCGTTTAATTTAATTAATAAGAACAATTCTAGCTATAATCTTCTTCTTGGTGAACATCGAACAAGTCTGTACAAGTATCCACACTATTAGTTAGTATAAACAATTCAGGAATTTTAATACCCTTTAAAGTGTTCTGTACCACAAACGGGACATTAAGAACTTTCATTGCACTGAAAGTAAGATAACGTTATATTCAATATAGCTTGTTCAACTCCCGCCCCTCGCCCTCATTGTTGAAGATTCATTCCCCCCCACCCAACCCAATTTTTTGAAAACTAAAAATAACATGAAATAACTGATCTCACCAATAATTCTTCCGGCTAACCTAACTCAGTTGAAAAAATTATTCTTACTGACGTTATAAGGTATGTCTTCCCTCCTTTCCGCAAGCCTTCGTGACGTAGTTAGAAGCATACTCGATGTGTATGTGAGAGGTCTAGGGTGCGAGGCCATTGCCCATTTTTCACGTCTCAAAAAAAAAAAAAAAAAAAAAAAAAAAAAAAAACCTAATAGCTCTTCAACGTACCAATCATAGCTGATCAAGATCCAAAAATTAAATACGGTGTTCGAATATGACTCGTTGAATAAATTCATCGCAGTCACTTCACTTAGCTAAATATTAAATTGCAAATTTAAGAAACTCGTCTTAGAAATCGGTTCTTGATGATGAATTGTAAACTCGTATTAGCGTACCACTTTTAACATCGCTTTTCTTACTTTTTTTAACTAATCTTAAAAGTACTCCTCTAAATAACCCTAAAAGATACCCTGGTACTGATAATCTACCAACCTCTGTACTATAATAATAATTTCTTCTCACTCATTTTCTCTTAATATTATAATCGTATATCTTATTACTACATCATAAGCCAACCGAAATCAATACAAAATATTACTACAGAGAATGAAATATGTATATTAATATTAAATATAAAATATTATTAGCACAATAAAATTATATATATTAATATTGTTAAATCGCAGTCCATAGAATTCATCAATGTTCGCCACTGCCCCCCCCCAAAATTCCTATTTAGGGAGGTATTAATCCTACATTTGATACCCAAAATACAAACATTCACTTGCTTTTAAATTTACTTACATCATTATACTAACAACCTCTTCGTCTGTCTAAAAAGTACAAATGAATCAATAATTAAATGATAAAATTATAATCCCTCTTTCCATAACATATTTATTGAAATTGCTTATACATTTATTTCAATTCAGATTTTGTTTAACACGCGTTTTCCGAATTAAATGACAAAAATTATGGAAAATGTTGATAAATACAAAAACTTGTATCAAAGTGGTTTTTTTATATTCATTCTGCAGAAACATTAGTTTTTTTTTTTTTTTTTTCAATATGCTGGAGACGTGAAAAATGAGCAATGCCTTCACCGGACTCGAACCTCGGACCTCTCGAATACGCACTAAGTGTACACCGTTACCCCACGAAGGAATGCTAAAAGCAGAGAGAAAATACATTACGTACTCCCCCTTTTAAAGAACGACTGGGAATAAGGGAACCGATTACCAAATCCTGGTGTGACGAATTATTGTCCACCACCTTTAAGTTCGGGCGCCACTGTTGAGACATTAGGTTTTCTTTTTTTAGCAGGAAACAGAGAATATGAGCAATACCCTCCCCGGGACGCGAATCTGGAGCATGCTAGGCATGCTAGAAGGAGGGAGACAATACCTTATAATTCTCAACAGAAAAATAAAAGTGTGACTGCATTCCTCCCTAAAACTATAAAATTTCCCTGGGAAGAATTTACCCTTGGTTGATAACCCCTGATATAATATTAATTTAGAAGTCAAACAACATATATGATGTAATGTATAAAAATTCTGATATAATGTATAAAAATCCATTTTTCTGTTAAAAACAATTTTTCTTTGGAAATACATTTTTTAATTTGTGTAGCATTTGGATATATTCAAGTTTGATACTGTAATTAAGATGTTTTTTGGTGATCGTGGATAAAATATATATTTGATGGTCTTGTCTTGATGGGTTAGATGAGTGAGCAGTCTTCATACTGTAATTATCAGTGTCTAAGAATACTGTAATTATCAGTGCCAGTTTTCATAGCTTACAGTAAGACTGCATACCTTCATGGTGTCCGGGTCGCAGTCGAAAGATCTGGAGTTCCGAATCCTGGTGAAAGCATCTTTGATTTTTTTCGTGTTTCGTGCTTTGAAATAAACCTAATGACTCTACAAGTTTGAATAATATTCATCGGCAAACTCGAATTTCCAAGAACGGTCTTGATACAATAATTTGTGAAAGCCCTTACTTTGTTGGAAAGATGAGACGCATGAAGTCTGATTAAATGTAGAAGAAATTTTCCAGACACTTCCCCATATGGCGAGCTAAATTTGTTGTTTCACTACAGTTCTACCATTGAAATTAATTCAATAAAGTAAGAGTAATGCGAGGTTCATAATAAATCAGAATGGTAGGTCGCCATTTGGTTATCGCTGATATATGCTATGCTCTTAAACAATTTTGAATTAGGGGAAAGATATTACAAAATTATGTTTTAATGTACATGTTATACTCTAAAACAACTTTTACTGTGTAATATCTAAGCTAAACTAGAGTTTCTTCTAAGCTAGAATACTGAAGAACTGAGTAGCGAGTATTCGCTGAGTTCTTATAGTGTAAGTAACAAATCCAAAGGAGGGTTGAATTACCCTGTTATTCCAGCTCAACAGAATTATGAACATCAGAAGGCCCATCTCGGGCATACAATAAACTTCTACTTGGGCTTTCATTCAAGTTAGAAAATATAAACAAATCTAATACGAAATAAAACTAATCAACGCTTCACAGAATCAATTCGTAGAGTTGGCATTATTTAAAGTTCACCAGCTTAGACTAACAGGCATGCATTAGGTACGACTGCAGAATAGGAAGCTTAAACTAATAGCAACGATGTGACCGAATGGCAGGACAAGCTCTCTTACTGAAGTGACCCAGATTTCAGCTTAAATATTTGTTT